TCCTTTTGCATTTCAACTATACATATAATATTAATGTATAAATTTGTGAACACAGCCATGCTTTGTTGAAACAAAACTTATGTCGGTTTATGCATGTATCATCTAAATATTTACTGCTGTTTGTATTTTTCAGATTATGGAAACTGCACATTGTTGATCATGTCTACTCACAATGTACTCTGTGCACATTATGGGGAAAGTAAATCTGCACTAATAAATACCCAAATGTATATGGCTCTACGTTTGCCCGGCTGGAATCATTGTTATATTCGATGGCAATTCATGGCAATACAATCATATTGTTTGACCAGGCAAAGGATTAGTTAATTAAGGATCTAGCACACCAAACAATAATTATATATTATTTTATTAAACATATTCTTATGTGCATTATTAATTTTCATTACAAATTAGATTTATTCAACATTTAGAAAGTTTAATTAATTTAAAAATATATACAATATTATATTACTATTACAGGCCATCAATACGTATTCTTGGTTTCATACCCACGTTTTATTTTGTTAATTCCATAAGGGTATTCTCGGGTTGTCCCAAATGATACAAGTGAAACACGCACATAGCTATCGCTTTTAATAAAAGAGTATTTGATGTCATATTTACTTCAATATATTTTATTGAAGCTATGCTGGCTATAATTAGCTGATATTTCCAGTGGTGGCACCAGCAGTGGGGCATCCCCCCCTAAAATATTTTTCAAACCAAGCATATTTATTAATGGCCTAATAAATAAATTAAAATTAACACGTACAACACTCACACAACATTCACACATTATAACATACACAAAGTTACTTAGTGAATTATCATGGCAATTGTGCCTATTATGTTGTTCTTGAACAATTGTCTGAGTGGGTTTTTGCTCTATTTGGGCACACAATTTTTGTATGCCCTCTTTTAAAACACATCCAGCATACCATTCCTAGTAAATGTACAATAAATTTTAATATAGAGGGGCCACAAAAAAATTTTGACCAGTGAAGGGGGGGGGGAGAAAATATTTTGAACATAAAGGGGGGGGGGCAAAAAATAAAATCTATAGTTTGTAACATGCAATATCAAAAGAGTGATGGATATATACAGTATACATACATTGAACAGTAATGCCCAATATATTGAACCTTAAAGTTGTGTTCTAGGCACTGTATATGGAAATTGTCATCCTCATCATCACCAGAGAATTTGTCTAAAGGGTCATGCACTGCATTTGCAAATGCAAGATTCAGTTGACAGTTGTTGTCCTGCTTTTAACACAGTGGACCTCTTTTGCATGTTCTGTTTCTGCATGTTGTTGACAGTCTCTTCTGCCATCTCTTCAATATACAGTAATGCTTCCACCAGACACAAATGTATTTTTTTCAATTAGTAAAAGTAGGTCTGATTTGTGGGATTTTTGTTTGAGGACCAACAACTTTTCAGGTATAAAGTCTGAATTATCTACTTGGCTATCATTTTCAATATTTACAATATTCTTTATTTTCAATATTTACAATATTCTTTACATCTGCTAGTAAACTGAGTATGAGGGCAGGAAAAATGGTTATGAAACTGACTTAGAGTAATTGAATTCAGAATTGGGGTGGAGGGGGGGGAGGGGGGGGGCTATGAAATATGTTGCCTCAATAAGGGGGGGGATAAAATAGTTTGTTAGAAAAATAAGGGGTCATGAAAAATTTTTGCTATTCATAAAAATTTCCTCCAGCCCCCTACCCGGCATTAATAATGACTTGTCCCTTAGCAAAGAATGTAACTCATGCACACTGTTACATATAACACTTTAAATCGCACCAATGACCTGAGCAAACCTTTGTGTAACTATTGTTGGTATTAGCATCCGGTCTCAATACTAATTTCTGGCTTTTGCCCTTTATCTCATACATATCAGCACTAAAGTGATCTGAACACAAACGACTACTTTTCGCAGGAACAGACTTCACTGTCGCATGTTTATTCATATACTCAACCCATATGCTGTACAACTCTGGATGCTTCTTTGCATCAGGAATACTTAAATATGTGAAGGGAAAAAATTCAATAACAATATGCTTTCATAAATACAAACAGGCCTATAAAATACACTGTACAGTAGGTAGGAAAAACGCACACGAGAACATCACAAGGAACAATGGAAATATAATATTTGAATGAAACAAACTACATGCAAAAACCTCAGAAAAGAAGCCATAGTCGTACCATAGCTGGTACGTGACACATGCACGTGAACAAAACATAAACTACAGAAAAAACTTCTCGAATGATATCTAAGCACAAAATAATATTTCCTTACCAGTGACAGTGTGAATACAATCCGTCTTTGTCAAAGAAGTTGTGACAACCATAAACCGAGCAATATTAACGCGGCATGTTGACAAAATATAAAGTTGTAAAACTTGATAGTTTGATAATTAATACACAGTGTATACTTTTTGCATCCAGGGGGGTGCGAAAACAGGTGGCTTTCAAAAATATTATGTGGTCAGTGGTAAATCGCCCGAAAATAGTGGACGCGGAGCTCGAAATCCGCCATGTTTTTGCGGACACTTTTTTGTTTGACGAGATATGGGAGCACGATCTCCAGATATATATAGTAGAGCTCAGAGAGGATGTCCACAAAAATCAAACATAAGGCGGCCACGACGGAAAAATCGATTTTGCTCAAATTTTGCCCAGATATACCTTATTATATCGGAAAATGCACCATATATATTTTTAGGTCAAATACTTTTTTAACTTTGAGAAAATGCCGTTTTAACACGACCACCCTAAATCGCCATTTTGTCTGGGAAAATATGCGCTGATTTTACCGACAAATTTCACGACGACAACCGTTTCTAATCGATCTAAAACCCTAAAAATCTTGTTTTCGGTTATTCAAAGGACCGGGTACGTGACTTACAGGAAATCTGAGTTACTTTTAGGAATAGAAATAATCGTAGTTTTGGAGCACACTATCTTACCTCATTTACGATACCCTCTTAACAAAACCGATTTTCACCATGGGATAAAGCTCCAAATCGATCATGCTTCTACTAGTTGGCTCTTTAATAAACAAGCTTTCAATTGACGTAAATACTTCTTTGGGCAAATGAATACGCGATAAACGACAGCGCGTTGAAATCGTCCGTTTTTGACGTCTTGCAAGTCAAACGCTGTTAATTTACATACCGTCGAAGTAAACAATTTAATCAAGTATTTTAAGTATTTTACCTTTTGAGAAGAAGATATATTCTTGAATGGAGACTTTTTGCCTTGCTAAGTTTAAAATTGGTCCAGAAATCCCGATATATTTGTGAAATATCATCATATACAGGTATTTTGAGATATAATATTGTTGTCAGTTGCATGATAACTTCAGATCACTGTTCAATATTGTCTACTTTTAATAGCGCTAACATACAAAGCGATGAGCTGTTTAGGGATTATATTTGTTACTAAATTTACCAAAATAATTAGAACTACAACTGCTGTTTTCAGAGGTTTTGTTCCATTTTGTCCATATTATTAAATTAATGTACCAGTTATGTATCGACTATAATGTTTACGAAGACGTAAGTTAATTATTAAGCAGGTGTTAGCGTGCGTGACATGAAATGAACGTTTATAATGTTTATCAATATAAGGAGTTTTTATTTTTAGTTTACCAGCCCTTATATTTGAATAGCCGAATTCATATTAGGGACGCGAAACTCGTCTTAGACGGAAACTCGTCTGTGAAAACCCGCCTGAATATGAATTTAGGGACGGATAAATTCGAATTTAAGACGAGTTTCCCGTCTAATACGAGTTTCCCGTCTCTAATATGAATTCGGCTAATGTGTGTTAAAACTGCAAGGTCATTAAATCTCATTAAAATCCCACAGACCACAACGATTATACGTATTGATTGTTTCTTGACGATAGTAGACGCGTACGCATGCATGTTGCGTAAGAGGTTATTTCGCTGGCCTCAGAATGACAAAACGTAACAAAGCTTTACACTAACCCTATTCCAAACACCAACTTTATAACTTAAATCCCTACCATAACCCTTGCTCGTTATTAAATAACATACCGTAGTAAATAATTTAATCACCATTTCTAAGTCTTTTACTTTTTCGGGACAAAAAACTACTTGAAAAAGACCAGGGCTTTAAAAATTATTTGAAGTAGATAGTTATGATAAGACAGGGGTGGCGCCAGGGCCGCCCTTGCAGGGGGGGGGGGGCAAAGGGAGCAATTTTCTCCGCGACCCCAGCTCAAGGAGGGCCGGCAAATACAAATTTGCAAGGGGGTAAAAAGTTTGTCGACGGAGGGGTGGGAGGGGAATTATTGTGGTTCACCGGGGCCCCAAAGATATAATTGGCCCTGGGCCCCCATATTTCACTGAGCTGGCCTGGGCTGCGCCAGTAATTCTCCGACGGGGGAAGTCATCGGTGCTCTCTTTCGTTCTTTGGCAATTGGCATTAAAACCACAAGAACTACCGACAAGTGACCAGGGCCGGATTAACGTCGCGCGAGGCTCGTGGCAGATTTTAGCGCGAGGCCCCCAACCCCTTCCCCACCCCCACTCTCAGCCTTGTTATGAAAACCTTTGAATTTAAAGACACACAAAATTGTTAAATAATTTTTTTCAATATTTCAATTTATTAGCATCAATTATAAACGAGACAATGGCCTGCCTGGCCCAGTTGTTGGGTCAACATGTATAAACAGGATCATAATATAACAGCTCAACGCAACTGGAGATTATATGCACACGAGTATTGCATATCTTCCCGGGGCCGTGCTGGGGCCAACTGCCAAGCCTAGGGGCCCTAAATTCGCGAGGCACCTAAAATGGGTGTGTCCCAATAGAAAATGGCCGTGTTCTCGTAAAAATGGGCGTGGCACAGTAAAGCGCAATGCCCCCATAAGCGCGAGGCCCGTGGCATTTGCCGCATCTGACACATGGTTAATCCGGCGTTAAACGAGCAACAAGCTTCCATTTTTTTTAAACGCGACGTGTGGGGAGACAATAATAATTTCTGGTGTCGCACTGGGGTAACATATCTCAATGCTGTATTTTTGGGTTACTAGTACTTGTGGAATATAATAAGATCAATAAACAATAGTGTATCAAAAGAAAGTAATTTTACTGATTATTTTAACTGAGCATCAAAGTGAACACACATTAAAATAATTATTCTAAACTATTTGCTATAATTTGAGTTTGAGGTGGTAGAATATGTAATAAAATAACAAACCTTGTATGGATTAATGTTCATTTCACACGCACGCTATTAACAGCTGCTTAATAATTAACTTATGTATTCGTAAACATTTATACTCGATAGCATAGTCGATATGTAAAATGGTACATTATATGGATCAAACTGGAACAAAACAACAACTGAAGTTCTAATTTTGGGAAATTTAGTAGCAAATATAATCCCTAAACAGCTCATCGATTTGTATGTTAGCGCTATTAAAAGTAGACAATATTGAACAGTGATCTGAAGTTATTATGCAACTGACAACAATATTATATCTCAAAATACCTGTATATGATGATATTTTACAAATATATCAGGATTTTTGGACCAATTTTAAACTTAGCAAGGCAAAAAGTCTCCATTCAAGAATATATCTTCTTCTCAAAAGGTAAAATACTTAGAATACTTGATTAAATTGTTTACTTCGACGGTATGTAAATTAACAGCGTTTGCTTGCAAGACGTCAAAAACGGACGATTTCAGCGCGCTGTCGTTTATCGCGTATTCATTTGCCCAAAGAAGTATTTACGTCAATTGAAAGCTTGTTTATTAAAGAGCCAACTAGTAGAAGCATGATCGATTTGGAGCTTTATCCCATAGTGAAAATCGGTTTTGTTAAGAGGGTATCGTAAATGAAGTAAGATAGTGTGCTCCAAAACTACGATTATTTCTATTCCTAAAAGTAACTCAGATTTCTTGTAAGTCACGTACCCGGTCCTTTGAATAACCGAAAACAAGATTTTTAGGGTTTTAGATCGATTATAAACGGTTGTCGTCGTGAAATTTGTCGGTAAAATCAGCGCATATTTTCCCAGACAAAATGGCGATTTAGGGTGGTCGTGTTAAAACGGCATTTTCTCAAAGTTAAAAAAGCATTTGACCTAAAAAAATATATGGTGCATTTTCCGATATAATAAGGTATATCTGGGCAAAATTTGAGCAAAATCGATTTTTCCGTCGTGGCCGCCTTATGTTTGATTTTTGTGGACATCCTCTCTTAAAAGTCTTATATGCGGTTTTTTGTACGCTTTCCAATAATGCAAGTCATTTTTATTGTAATTGAATACAGAATTTCCCATTTTTTTGCTGTAATACAATTTAATAGAGGATAATCATTGATCACCCATTTTCTCGGGATTGGGCAACTTTTTTGCTTGGGAACTTTTTTTGGTAGTGATGTACCTATATGCCTTTTAAATAAACCCTAAACCAAGTATTTCCCACATGGGTGCCACGAAGCGAAATAATTTTGGCCAACAGCCCACGGCCTAACCTTATCAGCATTTTAATTGTCGATTGATTTAAAATTTAGGCGATAAAGTTACATAGCAAGGAGTTGGCTTTTGTGCTCTTCGAATATCCATTTTCATTCACGGATTAACACAACTTGTTGGTCTCATGGGTACCAAAATCGACATAAATGTAAACTGCTAACCAAGAGCTATAAAACAAATAGCTTTTCAAAAAGATAAACTTTATTCAGTCGAAAGGATGATGGTAAATAAACATGCTACTGCGTGTTAGTGATTTCGAAGCAACTTTGTCACATATATTTTAAAAAGTGTGATAATGAATCAAATTTTGCTTTTTGCTATCCCAAAAAGGTATGAAAATTATTTAAATATTTAAGGTTTCCGTGTTTATAAAGTATTTTTTTGAGAAAAGTAAAAATTTTCCCGATAAAAAAACATGGTTTCTACAGAAAACTGTTTTCTGAGATAGAAGATCCTGGGGGAAGGGGTGTAGACTGTAGAAGCGTGCGCGGATAGCAAAAAACCTTGACCATTCCTCAAAAAAATGAAGACCAAATTTTGTTTTGCCTTTGTTTGATATGTAATTTAAACAAGTTTTTTTTACATCTAAAAATTGCCCCTAGTGATCAAAACTTGGATTATGTTCGCAGTATTGGCCGTTTGTTTACCGTTTTGGAGATCAAAATTTGAGGTCTAATTATTTTTAAGGTTTGAAAACTACCCACTCAGCTAATTCTTGGCTGTTCAGGTTTGCAGCCTTATATGCTGATTAAAATTTAGTTTAGTCCACAATAGTAGATCCTTTCAATGAAGAGATTAGTATATTTCATTACTTTTGCAGCACAGTCAGTACTCAGTACATAGGTAGGGTAGAGCACATAGGAAACAGAATTTAACAATAAATTTTGTTGAAAAATTGCCTCTTTGCGTCTAATTTCGCTTTGAAATGCGTGCGGCTACTGCTCTTGTAATCCTTGTATGAAGCAAGAGCAAGCCCGTAGCTAGTTCTCAATTTCTGGGGGGGGGGGGGG